ATAATCTGTAATGGCATTTTACTTTAAGAAATGTCCAACTCAGAATTTTACTTTACTTTAACTTCGAAAGAAAGATTCTACTCATTAACCTAGCAAAAAGTTATCATATATGATTACTTTCTGAACTGCCTCAGCCAAACATTTATCTGATATCTTGTTAACTTCAAATATTATCAAATGTAGCAATAATCAACTTTTTGATTTGTTTTGCAAAAATTTGCACATCTTCATTTATCTAAAAGTTTGCAATAAGTTGAAAAAACTTAGTTAAATTGTTTTATCACATTTTTGTAATGTGTAATTGAAATAGTAACTATATATCATTTAAAAATCCAAACAAAACTTTAACAATCATCTGAAAATTATTCAAAATTATTTAGCGAGCAAATAATTATTCTTCTCGTACTACATTTTTTATTTTGAATAATTTTTATTTAAATTATCTGAATAATTTCTGTTTGTGCACAATTTTATTGTCATTATCGTTATCAGTACTAATTGCCATTATCATTATTAGTGCTGCCATTACTTTAACTATCAATCATTGCTAAAACAAATCAGCCAAAATGATTGCAGCCAAAAAATACAAAGTGGCAGTGAGAAAAATAAATTCACGCTACATTTAAGCATAAAATTTGCTGATTTATTCCATTCTATTTTACTATTTATACTTAAGTTTAACTTTTTGTCTATTTTACGCGAAGAAAAGCGCTGATTCCATGGCTAGCATTCAGATTCTGCTGAACTAATGAGCCATACAGCTAATTGCCGTCTCTTCTTTATTCCGTTCCACTTTAAGAATCGGTCAATAGCTCACAATTTTTTCTCTCAAAAAACCAATGGCAAATTTTAAAACCTTTCCTATTATTATTTTTTTTTTGTTGTTGATAAAATTCACTTTCATTATATATTAAAAATTGCTGGTGCACAATTTTAGTATAAACTAGGTCAGGTTCTGACCTGTTTTGTACTAAAATTTTGAGTTAGAAAGTATCTATTATAATTATTTACAATGAATACTAATTATACTCTGATCACACTTGCTAATTTTTGAACTAAACATTCAATTTTATTAAAAATACATCAGAAATACAATGTAATAATAAAGACAAAATCAACCATTACGTGAAACTATCGTTTGATCTATCTCAAACTGAGTTCATCTTTCATCTGCTGCGTTTTCCACAAAATAATGAGGCTTACTAACATAAAAAAAGTTATAATAAATTTATGCAAATATTTGGTTTTGTCGTTTTGTAGAAATAATTAAATCGTAAAAAAATCCAAGTAAATATGATCGATTGATCGATTAGTATCCACGAAAGTTTGTCCCTAAGGGATTAAATATAGCAAAGCAGTCTTGAAGAATGAAGGAAAGTAGTCAAAACTGAATAGTTATTCTTATTTGTATGCAAATTTATCGAAGTATTTTTGCACTAAATTTTGTAAGTTTGAAGTTTTATCATGCTTGAAACACACCATTATTCACACCCTAAAGAACACAAGCAATTACTTGCGCACTTTTATAAATGTAAAGGTCAGAAAAGGTTACTGCGTGTGTAAAACTTAAAAAAGTTTATTTATTTAGACCGAAAATAAGCACATACAAATACGATATATCAAAAATCCATTGCTAATAGCGTAAGATTGTTTTTTGATATTTGATATTTTCTTATTAAATTAAAGTGTGATAAATGGAACCAATTGAATAATATAGTTAAAATGTTAAATTTCAATATTTTCACTAGCAATAAAACTTTCCAAGTGAAATATTAACTTACGTAAAGACAATAAGAATGACTCACGCAAAAATAAATGAGGTAATTGCGTGTGCGTGCGTGTACCAATCTTAAAAATATGTAAATTTATCTATCTCAAGTTCATAAATCAAAAAGTGCTTAAAATATCTTCTTTCTTATCTACCTTCAAGCTAAATTTGCATAATTCAATAAGTTTTTAAACGACGATTTTGATACTTTTTTGTATTCAGAACTTATTTTGACAAGAATAAATTACGCTTTCGCATTTACTTTTATCCGTTCCAAAATTGCCAGAATTAAAATAAAGATAGTGAGAAAAGAGTTGCGACGCTCTCATTACATCTTTGATAATTTTGAAGCACTGAAAAGCGAATATTTCTTTCAAATTACGAAAATTTGAAAAGAAAAATTCATACTGAATTTTTTAAAATTGCTTGCATAGGCACTGATGTCCTTCAATAAAAAATATGCTTACTTTCCACTTTGAACTTTGACAGTAATTACAAAATTATTGAAAACGCAACATCATCCTTGGATGTATCTCAAATATACAGTAAACACACATAATTACAAAGTGGAAATAGTGAATTACAACAGCAAGTAATGATAACACAAGTTTATTTCTAAAAGATA